TTAGAGGAACTAGAAAATCAGAAGTAACACCACATATGTTATGGAATCGATTAGATTGATAAGGACCAAAAACCCCAGTAGTTCCCACGAGTTTCTGACGGTAGTTGTTGTCATGGCCTCACTTTGAAACTTATTCTCAGGAAGGCCAAGTTTCGATTTTCCAAAAGTCCTATTATGTGAGCAGTGAAAAATCTTTTCAGTCAGAAGGAAGTCGCAATTTTGAAAACGCCAACGTTGGTCCAGGTACTGGGGGAGGCACCGACAACGGAGGGAAAGGTGGAGGCGGGAGGCACCGAGAAGGAGATGGAGGTATGTATATGATTGGTTCCTGTTATTCTATACGAAAAAACATAACTGTTTTGATCCTGGTATTTTGCAGACGGAGGAGACGCCGGGGACGCTGATAATACAAAGCCCAGCAGAAAACAAAACCGGCATGAGAAAGTTGGTGGTGGAGATGGAGAAGGCGGAAACGGAGATAGTGGGGAGGGAGGGGGACGAGGAGGAAGCCGCGGGAAAAACGGCAAGGGAGGAAAAAACAGAACAGGAGGCGGAGACGGCAATGGAGATGATGCCGATTCTGGAGCTGAGGAAGGAGTGAGTTAGTTTTCAAGTTGCTTTTTCGAAAATGAGGTCCCTGTTGCAGAGGAATGGACGTGGTGACGGTGCAGGAGACAACCTAGGAAAAGATGGTGCAAAAGGAAAAGGAAGCGGAAAAGAAAAAGGAGGAAAAGGCGGTAATGGAGGAAGAGGAAAAGGTGATGGCACCGAGAATGGCGGAGATGGAGACGATGACGGAAGTGGAAATGGTAAAGCTGGAAATGGAGGAGATGGAGCTGATGGAGATGGATCTAAAGCATCTCGTTCTAAACAAGGCGGCAAAGACACCGGTAAAGGTGACTCCGATCTAGGAGGTCAAGGAGGCAAAGGAGAAGGCAAAGGTAAATCTTGGTCGGTGTGGAATTACACGGAATTTAGAAAAGAATTTAATTAGGAAATAATCATTTTCAGGAGGCGATGGTTCGGGCGATAACGACGGCAAGTCAGGAACTGGAGACGGTGTTGGCAAAGGAGGACCTGGTGGTAAACTTGACAGATCAGGAGGTGATGGAAAGCCCGGAGATGGAGACGATGGAGGAGATGGTGGCAAGGCAGGAGGCACTGATGGAGGATCGGGCGGATCCGGAGGAGACGGTGCTGATAAGGATAAGAAGAAAGGTACAGGTGACGGAGGAGATGGCGGAGATGGAAAAGGTGGAGTTGGCGGCAAAGCTGGAGGATCCGGTGGTAAACATGGAGGAAGTGGTGGAACTGGAGAAGATGGAGCTAACGGCAGTTTGGGAGGAATCGATGGCAAAAATGGAGGAGACAGAGGCGGAGCAGGAGACAAGCAAGGAGGAGCCGGTGGCAAAGGTGGAAAAGCTCGAGGAGATGATAAAGATGGAGAAGGCGGCAAGGCGGGAGGAGCTGATGGTGGAGCAAAAGGAGCTGCCATTGATGGAAAGGATGGAGCTTCTGGTGAAGATGGTGCGCATGGTGGAAAAATTAGACATGGTCCAAAGGATGGAAAAGACGGTGCGGACGGTGGCAAGACGGGAAAAAGTGGTGGTGGCAAAGGAGGTGCGTTTTAGACATTAAATGCCATTGTCGTTGGGACCTGATCATGCTTCTTCAGGTCGAGGAGGTGATGGAACTGATGGCAATGACGGTCTTTCTGATGGTGACAATGACAATGATGGAAAAGACGGACAGAAAGGGTAAGTAACATTTTGCATTTTAACTAATTACTACCCACAAAGCCTTCACCTGACAGAAAGGTCCTTTTCATAATTGACGATGCTCCCAAATCATCCGTTTTTAGGCATGGAAGAATTCAAGGTCGACAGGAAGTTACCGAAGAGACACCTGCAGCCGGCAGCGCAACAACAAAGAGAACAATCGATAAGTTGGTCCTTTTCTCACAAAATCTCAATCGATAATCAATTCTATCTGGGTTTACACTTTCTGAAATATTCTACATTCCAGTTCCAAGAGTGGATCGGCTGTTAACGGTTCTGATGGACGTGGAACCACTCCTGATGGAGGGGCATCAACAAGTAACGGAGGTGAAGTGAAATGGACCGATGAAGCTGGCGAAAAAGCCGGGACTGACGTCTTCACTACGGACGAGTTCTTCGTTTCGCCTGGTTCAGGAGGAAGCAAAACGACTGCTCGACCAGTTTCAGGAGGAGGAGGAGGAGGATTAAAAGGAGGTGCAGCTGGTGGAGCTCGGCAGAGCCTCAGCGCTTCTGGACCATTGGCAGGGAAATCAGGAGCAAAGGATACTGACGCTGGAAAGTCTGCAGCATCTAATGCTGCTGGAGGCTCTGCGGCAAAAGCCGCACTTGCCAGAGCGGCTGTCAATCAAGGTGCATCACAAACGCCTTCACCAACCACTACTCCTAAAGCTACGACGACAGCAAGGACTACGACCCGAGCTCCATCCACAACTGCACGGATCAGGGGAGCTGCCAACCTTGCTGTGGCCCCTCCTTCTGGAGGTGGCGGGTCAGGCAGTGCTGACGCAGCCGCTGGTGGTGGTGGCGGCGGGTCCGCCGATCCTCCTCCAGCGGATCCTCCGGCATTTGTACAAGCAAACCCACGTGAGTATAGCTTACATTCGTTTCCTAGTTATACTTGCATCCCTCATTCACAACTCAAGCAAATCCAGTTTTCTAGTAGCCGCTATGAACGCTGCTGTAAAGAAAATGAACTGTTTCCCCGCGGATGCCGTCGTAACGACCGTTACCGGACAAAAACGAATGGATCAAGTGGCCGTGGGAGACTTTGTGAGCAACTTCAATTTCTATCAGAAACTGTAGCTGCATTACTCTCGAGCAGCGTTTTTTTCGAAGAGAAGCCGTTGGAGTAAAGTTCAATATCTAATAGACGAACTCTCGCTCTAGAGGGATGTAGTATCCTTAGGATTAGTCTGGGACTGTAAGTGACACGCTAGAATGTGGATTCCTACCTCATTCTACAAGACGGATTCCATAGTAAGTTGGTAGGGTACGGTTTCCAATGAAGGGGATGGGAATGAAGCAGCACCTGGGAAAGGTACATACTGTTTAGGGATGAAATTCCGCATTGAATTCTTTCCAGGGCAACTTTCCTATACAAGTTCTTTATTAGACCTGCGATAATAAAAACTTCTAATTTCGTAGCGTCTATACTCTGAAAATCATTGAGTGGGTCCAGGTATAGGAGAAAATGGTACTTCCAGATCCAAATCGGAAGCACCTGTTCAGAGAGAAGGTTTTTCTCAAAACTGGTCTTGAAAACTGTCCTTGGAAACGAATCGAAGGTCTTTTAGGTGTTGGTACCGAGTGCTGGTGATGTGCTGAAATACGAACGCGTCGAGATGTTCTACCATCGTGAACCAGAGACACGAGCACAATTCGTCGTATTGTTCACCGCATCAAAGAAACGACTCGCTCTCACTCCACTTCATTTGCTTCCGTTCGGTGAATGCCAATCTATGAAGAGGTCAGTCAGTACAGGTTTAAGCCAAGAGTATAAACTGCTTTGAGCGTCTTCCGCATCCACCTAAACTTCTCAACTTGGTTGCACCTCCCATCAACTGATGAGTGAAGATCCTCTCAAACTCATTCTAATTAGTTTACATTATCCCGAATAATTCCTATGCTTGTCCCGAAACTGTTCGTTCAGACGTTGAAGGCCTATGTCTCGTTGACAGGTCCATTTTTGAGCCTCTCCCAAGAAAATCTGGTCCTTGAAATAAGTCCACTAACTTCTCATAGTTTCCTTTACAGAGATCTGGAGAAGGCAGATGGGGTAGACAAATGGTTACGAGCATCGCAATTTGCTCACAAAGCAGTGGTTGGTGACTGCGTGATGACGGTATCTGACAGTGGAGAAGTTGTCGTTGATCGGATAGTCAAGGTATGTCAGGTTTGGCAGCGGAAGACTATCATAAAAGAAAAAAGTACTTGAATGTCGGCTAAATCGTTTACTTTCTAAAGGTGTATTACGGAACGATCAAGTCCATGTTCATCGTAA